GAAATGCTTGGGTCTAACCCCTAAATCCTAGCTTATTTGGCTGTCTTGCTATAGTCTTTAATTTAAGGTCCCTACTTAAGATCCATCTCCTGTGACTCCAGTTTATTCTCGCGTTGACTGGATGGTGTAGTCATTGTGGGGCTTGTTGATCAGATAGGGATTGGTGGTGTTTTGCTGGTTTGAGGAAATTGTGTAGGGTTTTTTGTGTAGGTTTTGGCATTGGATGGCTGATGTGTTTGAGTGTGTGATGGTGTGGCTAAGGGTTACGTGTTGAGCGCTGGGTGGTTTATGTGGAGGTAAATGGGGTTAGGTAAGTACGGGAGGGAATGGCGGGCGTGAGGGGTTTGAGGGAGGAATGGGGAAAGGGATTTTGATCTGATTATGAGGTTAAGCCCTAAACCCTAGACCTCACTCCTTGTACTTATTATTAAGGGTGTCAAAGCTAGTACTAGTTTTTTCTTTCTTGATAGTTTTCTTATGAAACTCTACTCCTACCCGCTGTTCCTAGGGGTTTCTAACCTTGCTTGCTTTTAGTTGTCTGTTTGGTTAACTCTCCTGTCTATAATCTACTGCGGCGATACTTTTTGTGGTCTTCTCTAGGCGGAGTCCATATGGATGTTCTGGGATTTTCGGATACTTACGAGTGAATGAGAGTTTGCTTGGGGTGTGTTTGTTATTCCTTCCCACAGAGTGAAGATCAGGCTGTGACCTTTGATCCTTGCTATTTTGCCTTTTGCCAAGTAGTTGGTTTCGAAGTCGTTTTTATGCTCATTTGCTTTACTCTCATCTTTTCTCATTTTCCTTTTTACTTTTCGCCACAATACCGCTGTTGTAGTATCGCCCCAGTATTCTGTCTCAACCTGCTGTTGTAGTATTGCCCAGGCTTCTTGACTATGCATTGGTTGTTTGTCTATTGTCTCTTGGCATCTCTTCCTCCAAATGGTCCAAAGAGAAGCTTTCCGAAGGATTTGAAAGAGATTGTTTTCTATGTTTGTCCAATTTTTTGGTGTGTTGAATCCCAGCAGTATGAGAACTTGATTGTTGGTGAATTCTATGTTGACTGTTTTCTCCCAAATGTTATTAATTCTTTGCCACAGGGTTTGTATTTTGGGGCATCTAAAGAAGCAGTGGTAGAGATCCTCTATCTGCCCCTCATTGCATGTGGCGCAAAGTTGTTTAAGTAGGCTTCTCTCTTCTTTTCTTGTTCTTGTATTTAGCCATTGGTTTAGTGGAACTACGAGGTAGAGAATAAGCCATTGTAAACTTCTGAATTTGGGCGGGTGGATTGTAGGTACTTGGTTCCATGGAATCTGGTTAAAATTTTCTGGATCGACCTGTAGGTGGTTCCACCAACGCTCAGTTATCACTGGGTCCGGGGACGCTGATCTCCTTCTTAAATTGTACCCCATGCTTGTGGTATATTGAAGGATGTTACATTTGAGGTTGATTCCGGTGGTTCTTTGCTTCTGATTCCATGCCCATTCTGCTGGGTCTATTTCTAGATTCTCTAGGCTAATTTGGGGGTTGAACAGGGTTAACTCGTCATTTTTTACTACTCTTGCTTTTTTGAGGTTATCCTCTCTGACTGTAACTTGTCCTACACTGCTTTTGTTTACTTTACTATGGTCCTTATGAGGGTCTTCTATTATATGCATAGTAAAAGTGATCCACCTATCTTTGCTCTCTACCTTTTCCTTGTATGACAATGCATGCTCAGAAGAAGTTATGTGTGTCATTACCGCCCAATCTCCCATCATCCATTGTCTATTATTTTTTAGAGTAGGGATCCAATCTGGAGGGATACTAGCTATTATTTGTTGAAGGTTGTTCGCTAGGCGATGGCAGCCCTTGAGAGACGCTCTAAGCTGCTTTCGTCTTTCCATTATTGCTTGTTTTCATCCCGTAAATGTTTCACTTGCCAGATTCCTTTCTCCAGCCAAGCTCCCCATCTTGTGTCCTTTGTGGTTAATGTAAAGGGTTTGTCTTCTTCTTCTAGTATCCATGGGTTGCAGAATAAGGGCTGTCTGAGGATTTCTTCCTTGTTTTGTGGCCTTCTTACTTTTGAAGGGAAGATTTATGTCCAGGCTTTGATGATATTCCTCCAGAAATTTATTCTTGCCTCCCCTTTGGAGTGAGGTGTATTCGTTGATCTGCTCTTCATTGACCAAGATTTACTCATTAACAAAAAGGAGCCTTCCATGTTCGATGGTGTGCTGTAGATTGGCAGGTGTTGGATTCCTTCTAAAGCTAGTGACCTCCATGGGATATTGGGTGAGGTTAGCAATTTTAGAATCCACTTGGTTTGAAGAGCTTTTATTTGAGTTGCTGGGTCAAGGACCCCCAATCCCCCTTGGCTTTTCTTTCTTGTGACATATTGCGAGGCGACCTTGGTTATGAAATGTTGTTTGGATGCATCTCCTGTCCATAGGTAGGCCGCGGCCTTCCTTTTAATCTATTTTATGGCTTTGTGTTCAGGATTCCAAAATGCTGCGACGTACCATATCATTGAGAAGATAGAAGAGTTCAGAATTAGGGCTTGTCCAAATAGGGAGTTGTGTACCTTCTCCCATGAATTGAGTTTTGTGATCATCTTGGCGAGGAGACTAGGGGCCATTTCTGCCGCTGCGCCAGAGTCATTTAGTTGTATTCCTAAAACTCTCATTGGGTCTGCGGGATCTGTCCATGTCATACCTTCTGGTGTATTTTGGGGGGGTTCGCTGTTGTCGTTTGTTAGCCACCATCCTATG